GTGTTTGTGGAAACCCTTCAACCTGACGATGAGCTAAAGGGCTCTAAATCCGGACTGTTGCGAAACAACTTAATGTGAATAGGAACCATCTTTTTTAAAAAGGGTAGTAACCTATGTCAATCTAATATTTGTTTTCATAGTGATATCTCTCTCCCATCACCTAATTAGGAATCGACTGGACTGAATTTATAAAACTTTAATTTACTACATATACAATAACGATGTGCAATATTAAATACTTGAATACGAGGGATCCGCCCTCGATTTTGTTTTGTGAAAGGGGTCCGCTGGCTAAAAAGTTTAGGAAGCCCTGCTGTAGGAGACAGAAAGGGAAGTAAGTTGAAAAAGAAGATAAAGGTTTATCGTGACAAAAGGCTTTAGAAAAATCAAGAAGTATAAGAATAGTTATACTATTAGTATAGTACTTATTTGACTACTTTGTGGTTTTAACCATCCAAATCGTGTTAGAAAACACCACTATGTTCTTTGGCAAATATCAAATTTATCTACTAGCAATTTATGGGTTTCAATTTAACCCGACTGGCTTTAAATTTGTTAAAACCTAAAGGCCGGATGCATTTAGGTCGACAATCTCGGCTGGCTACGACGGTCGAATTTGTAGTTTTCACAGCACTTTGCAATTATTTATGTGTATGTAATACGCGTTGTTCTACACGGGAGTCAGCATAAAGTATGCTTCGCACATGCGTACGTTTTGCCGAGTGGCACAAGTTGTTTTGCGTCCTATTCGTAATTCGTCGACCCATTGCCCATTGCTAAAGAAGAGTCCGATTTTCTTTTCGATAGTCGGTCGCCGTTGGGTTTTTTTCCCCTCGTGACGGGGGCGAAAATACGGACTTGACAATTTTAAAAGAATTGATGGACGAACGTTTTTCCTCGTCATGAGATAAACCCGTAAAACAATGATTAAACTGCGAGTCTAGAAAATCTTGCCCTCGTTTCTGAATTTCTTAATTCGATCAAAATATATTTTAGACTTTCTGAGGCCGCTTGCATCTTGGAAAATCAGACATAAATAAAATATAACTTTATACCTTAATTATTTTTAAACTCACAAATACAAGTTTGGCATTTGATTAAAAAATGCGGGACACGTTATGGGAGGATAAAATAGTATAAATAGATCGAGAAATCCGGGATAAGGCCAATTTGAAAGAAAAGAAAAACAATTTGTTCCTTTGTCAAGCTTTCTATGACTATACAGGTTGTCATTGTTAGATGGCCCGGACGAATTTCTCATACACAGATAATGTCGAAAAATAAAAAATCGCATTTCTGTAGTCGTTTTTTTCCTCCCGTTTTCAGAGCCGGTACAACTTTGAAATTTTAAATAAGTGTACATTTTTCACCGATTGTTTTAAAGGATTTGCTTTACCTAAAAACGAGGCTTAATAAGAGTTTAATTTTTTGCTTTTTTAATTTAAGTTGAAAATAACAGTTGTTTTTTTAACACTCAAATCTGCACATCTGCGTACATAGACATACATTTACTGAATTGAGCTTCTCATTTTTCTATTTTTGTTATCTTTTTTACACTGAAAACGATGGCGCAATCAGATTGTTTTAAAGCTTAAAATAAAAAAGTTTTTTTTTTAAGCTCAAATCTGCACGTGTGTGTACATACATTCGCATATGTACAGGATTGAGCCTATCACTTCTATTTTTCGTTTCTTTTTTCTAATTTTTGCTCATAATTTTTTTACACTGAAAACGATGGCGCAATCAAATTTATTTATTTTTTAAGTTAATTTTTAAAAAACTCATATCTGCACATGTGTGTATGTATACACGGTTAAGCCTATCACTTCTTTTTATTATAATTTTACACCGGAAATGATGGCGCAATTAGATTTTTTAACATTTATTTTATTTTTTAAAGTTTAAAATAATAGTGTTTTTTATGTGCATATATACACACATTTACTGGATTGAGCCTGTCACTTCACTTTTTTCTCATATTTTTTACACTGGAAACAATGGCACAATCAGATTTTGAATTATTATTATATATATATTTTTTTTTTAAGTTAAAAATAATTAAGTTTTTTATAAGCTCAAATCTGCACATGTGTGTACATATATTCACACATGTACAGTGGCGCGTATCACTTCTTGCAGTCCACCTACAATTCCAGCATTTGTATTTTAAAATATATTACTGACAGGCTTTAAGAAACACCCACCCCGGGTGTTGGCAGTCCAGGGTTAGACTTCGATCTTATCTGTCCAGCAACCAAGGTTGGGCTCCGGGTGCTGTCAATAGCTAGGCCATTTGAGCCCCTAACCGCAATCAGTTCCTAAATCCAAAGCCATTCACACTCTCACTCTTAAATGGATTCTTCCTATCATTATTACACACAATAAAACAACCGTATTTCCTCCAATAATCAGAACAGAGGACCCAGATTCTCACAGCCTTGATCATGCAAGCAAGCACAATCCTCATATCAGGTTGCATTCCTACACACTCTCTGTATGTAGCCAAGAAATTGCACTCGAATTACAATGTTAAGACAGAGAATGTAAAAATGAATGTCTTAATTTCGTTTTTATTATTAAGTATTTTCATTTGTTGTTTTGGAACTAGTTGGTTGTATGAACTTCTTGGGATGATGTTGGTGTGAGTATGTACGTTTTTAGTTAACAAACGGTTTTAAAAAACAAGACAAAAGAAACACATCATTTGTACATTAGTTGTAACCGAGTGGTTAGCGTGAAAGACTCTCGGCTCATAGACGCCGTGGTCATGGGTTCGATTCCCACCGTCGCCCCAGGCCCTTTTTTCACGATACCCCCCCCCCCAAATATGAACACACATACAAGAATTTGTCACCATGATCAATATGCATAGATCTAAGGCCAAAAAAATATTAAATACATATTCATTCTGTTTTTAGATAATGTTATCTGTTCAAAAGAAATTTAACCGGGCCATCTAAAAAGGAAGGATCGAGGACCCTGTATACCCTTCGTCAGAAATTAGAAACTATTATTAATAAGTTCACAATTTTAGCAAAAATGAACATCCGCTTATATTCTGAAACTTTAAACCTAGAGTATTTATGAATTGACGGTGTACACAGTTTGCAATCAAAACATTCTGAATTATTAGGTTCAAAGTCCTAATGAAGGGGATTTATTCCTTGAAAGCATGCAAAAGGAACTGAGCATTTTTCTTTCAAATTTTTTTTTTTTTTTTTTTTTTTTTTAAAATACACAATTACTGAATTGAAGGCTGATATCAATTATACTGAGTAATCTATATAAATATATCTTGATCTTAAAATTTTAAAGCTTTTTTAACCCAAGCTATTAGTTAGAAGTTAGTTAAAGAAATTGAAACATGAATTATCATTAAATATAATTTTAAATAATTAATTTATATTTAATTATTTTAACATTTAAATGCCACTATTATTACCAACCACAAAAACATGTTTAGCTTTTCTTATTATGAAAAATGTTAGACCCATTCTGGGTGGATAAAGCAATTTAATATATTATTATGGCTATTTAATAATTTTTTAAATCCCAGCAATTGATGAGCTAATTTGGTTAGAGAAACGTGCCTTAACACTAAATTAGTTAGTGTAATGTTAAATGTATAATTATTTACAAATAGTTATTTTGAAATCCTACAAAAGCTTGTTTGTCTTTTTTACATTATACTGAACAAAGCTGGATATTATTATTAATAGAAAAAATGTTAATTTTTAATTGTAAATTTATGAGGGCCAGCNACAACCAGTTTTATGGTACGTTGAGTCTTGATTCAAAGATAGTGATTGGCATTTGGAATTTTGCAGGAAACAATATAAAATAGCAATTATTGATTTAGAAACTTCTTCATACGAGAAACTACGTTATTGAGGGTCATTTATATGGAGGAAATTAACAACAGGGGCTACATAGTTGGATTTTTCTCTTCTATGAATGTAATGTTGTGATCAGCACAATCTCCATAGCATACACCCCACCCAGATGTGCGAATTCCGTAATGGTTTGTAAGTTTTATAATTTTCAATAGAGATTAGACATCAGTTTGTCAAAAAAATAATTCACTTCCTTTAAAAAGTCTGGTTCAGGTAATCAATATGTTATCAATTCACATAAATAGGAATAGAAAATTATATAGACAGGCTGTAAACCTCCTTTTTCAAAACTAGCCTGAACCTAAAATTCTGAAAAAGATTATATACGCCATTATGAACATTTATATATTTTTGCTTCAATAAATGAACAGAAGCTTACTTAACAATACGGTCCACTGTTAAATTTTTGCCCATCAACACAGGGAAATTGATCTTTCAAACTACCCGCCGGTTTTGTGATAATATCGATTATATGTTGTATAATGCATAAATATTAAATAAATTTGATATTACTAAAATAAAATGTACAAATATCACCATAGTTCACATAAAGTGTGTTATGCACGCGCGCGCGCGTGTGTATGTGTACATGCAGATGACTTTGAACCTAGTCTGCAATATTGTCTTCTAGCTCCCCACATACTTTACAGAGACCACTTCCTGTCCATTTTTACATGGAGTTAAATTTGAAAATCAGAATTTTCTCTGAACAAAAACCTATCACAATTTTGGTGGCCATGATGAAAATATAAATAAATTGTCAGAAAAATAAAAGTAACTATGATTAATGTTATTAATGATAGATAGAAGTTTTAAAATACATTTCTGTTATGGCAGAGTTGTAAAAATTTAGAAAAGTATACATATTTACTATTTTTCTATTTATCTAATTTAAATGACAGATTATTTAAAAGGTAATATGTTCTTAATACTTTAGATTGGAAACTAGAAATACACGATAGGAAAATAGTGACAAATTAATAGAGTAATTAGTATTTGTCGCTGAAAAAGAGAAATTCTGTTCATAACTATTATTTACTGATTATATGTATTAACTAGTTTTTTCTTATATGTGTATTTTACTTAATTGCTTTCATAATATTTCAGACCATGACAGAAAAGGATAAAAAAAGATTTCATGATCTTGCTGACAAAGATAAAAAACGTTATGAGTCAGAAATGAAGGATTATACTCCTTCAGAAAATGATAAAGGAAAACGTGGAAAGAAACGTAAACAAATGAAAGATCCAAATGCACCAAAGAGGCCTTTGTAAGTAATACTTTATATTCTTACTAAAACAATTTATTATCATTTCATAAAATGTAATTTTTTTACATTTATTTTAGGTCAGCATTCTTTCTTTTTTCTATTGATGAGCGTAGCAATGTCAAACAGGCTAACCCAGAATATACTGCTGGAGATACATCAAAAGAGCTTGGCCGTAGGTGGGCTGAGGCCGACCCCGCTGTCAAAAGTAAATATCAGGAAATGGCTGATAAAGATAAACTTCGGTATGATAGGGTAAGTTGTAATAAGCAGACCAAAATGATGGTACCAATTTACAAGTGGTGATAATGTTTAAAACAAAAAATTTAGCACCTTCGTACTGATGGATGTTTTTATTTTTCTCCAGGAGATAACAGAATACAAAAAGAAGGGCAAATTCACTAGCTCAGCTACACTTGCTGCAAAGAAAAGAAAAAGTGATGATGAAGACGACGAAGAAGAAGAGGATGATGAGTGATCAAAGCTTTTATTTAATTCGGGAAATTGTAAATTTGTTTTACAACCATCTTTTCTACGGGTTTTAAATCATAATACTTTATAAGTAGATCCTACAGAACACTATAATACAAGAACTGATAAAAAATGAAGAATTTATAAAATTACTAATTAAAGGTTTGTGTTTGTTTAATCTTAACATTTTTTTTTTTCATTGATGTTACATAAATTATTTCCTAAATTTTACTGTTTCTTAAAAGCTCACATCCCCTCTCATACTAAAGTGGGGTTACTCAAATGAATCATATTACCTTTTTTTACTGTCAAGAGACTGTTTGTAATAGTCACCAATTTTGCCTTATTTTTATATTAAAATTTTATTAGTAATAGCGTGCCCTGCTCGTATAATAAATATATTATATACATATAATACTAAAATATTACGTACTGTGAAAAAGGATATATTGGTTCTTCAGAGGCACAGAATTGATATTCATTGCAAAAATCAATACAGACGTTTCATCTTGCTAATACAAAATATCTCAAAATAGGATAGAAAAAGCGTCAAATATCCAATATACAGTCCTCAATGCAATGCAGCACAAATATATTACATTGGGATGAACAATTAGTGTTGCTCAGTTAATTAAATTATAAATTATTAATTTTTTTAAATAATTATAATTCTTTTCTTTTTTTGTTTTGGTTTTGTAAAACTACTTCCTTGAATCATTTTTCTAATACTCTTTTTTTAATACTTAGAATTGTACAAATGAGCACATAATTAATTATGTTAATAATAAGACAAATTGAGTAAATAAATAAAACATTAATATATATTTTTACTAGTTGAAGATGTACATAATATAAATAACCACTAGTTTTATTATTATGTCATAAAATTATCTGCTGTTGTATCTAATAGTAAAAGGATTAAGGGTTCAATTGTGGCATTTAAAAAAAAACTAGTGGTCATTTTAGTGTATAATTTTTGCAAAAATAAAGTTACGTTTTGTACATTCCAATGTTGGAAATAAAATTGTATTAGAGTGGCTCTTAAATATCATTAAGAAATAAAATATTTTTTGTCCATTAATTACCATTTTAGATTTACTTGTTTATGGTTTTCAATATGCTATTAAATTATTTTAAATTTGTTGAGTACTGTTCACAATAAGAAAAAATTTCTAATATACCTCTTGTTGAATAAAAAGAAAAAAGAAAGAATTTGTTGTTGATAAAGTAGTTTGTATCAAATTTATTTGGTTACAAGTAATGATCAAATTTTCAACCTTTTTTTATGTTTGTGAAATATACTTTTAGCCTTTTTATTGGATAGTAATTGTTTCATTGCATTTACCAACCTTATAGCCATTGACCCAGCTAGCTATGTTTATCGACCTAAATGTTACAATTTTTTTTTTTAATTTTTACTTTAAACTGAAGAATGGATAATGCAAAAGAAGTTAAAAATATTATTTAACCAATAAACAACGGTAAATCACTTGAATTGGGTGGGGTAAAATACAGTCGACTTGGTAACTTGAAACTCTGGGGGAAATTGTAACATTGAAGTTTTTCTTCTTGAGATATGTGCCGGCTAATCTACTTTCTGTACTTATCCCTATTTTTTTAAAATTGTGAATAAGGTATTAGGCGTTATGCCAAATTCTTTGGCAATGTCACCCTTTTTCTTAATGCCTTAATAATCTTGTGTTTCTCCCCAACACTTAATGTCTTACAATGACATTTCACACATTTTTTGTACATAAATGTACTAACACGTCAGAACGAACTGCCCAATAAGTATGAACTGTACTTTGTGCTGTCTGGTGCAGGACTGTTAAGAGTGGGAGAGAGGGGAGCCCATCAGGTATAGAAATTGTGCTAGTTGTGTGAGCTCACAAAGAAAATTCGTCTAATCGAGGTTATCATTTTGAAATGTTCAACGTACAGAGTAAAACACTAGGAAATGAGGGGGATTTGAAAAAATTTGAGTTATTAAGGTTTGAGTTTGAGAGTAGCAGTATATGCAGTTGTTTCATCAGAAAACTTTCCATAACTTTCAGGATGTTTTTAACAAATAATTATTGACTATTTTATTGTTTGATAGTTTGTAGAGTAAATTTTAGTTAAAAGGTTGTGGATGTTTGGGGAGAGGGTGTTTATTAACATGTTTGTCTAGTTTGATGGATTAAGTCGGGTCTTTTTTATTGTTCTAGAAGTGCACTATTAGAGTTGGTTGTTTTAGTTTTTGGTCCGGTTCCTTTCCAAGGCTCTATCCTTTTCCATGTTTCTAAATGATCTTACATTAGTTCTTAACTTCTCTAAATTTCATCTTTATGCTCTGAAGCTATCTCTATAGCTCTCTCCAATAAACCATTAATACAGATTGCCTATCCACTCATATTAATGGCTTCCCTATTAATATTAGTCATGAAGTTAAAAATCCCAATGTTATTTTTAACTCCAAGCTTACAAGGCCATGTGAGCTCTATTATTAAGAAGTTCTACTCAAATCTCCATTCACTAAGACAACCTTGGCTGTTGTTTCACTCCACAGAAAAATAAGAATTTAGCCCTCTCTAACAGTAGCAATGATTTTACCGTGTCCAGCACCTCTATAGTTCATACTTTATCTAATTCTCATGTTGTCTTTTTTAGATCCATACTGTGATGGAGGATTGTATGTTTGTTTTTGTTATCCCAGGAATAATTTCAGTCTTTGCAGATTCTCTAGACAGTGTGTTAGCCTTTTCTTTGCCAAAAATTCCTTCCTTTGTGTCCTGGTACCCAAAATATCATCAGGTTGTCTTTTCCCATGTATTGGAAATTTTGGTTATAATCATTGACTTACGTTGATGTAACGTTTTACGTGCTAATGCTTGACTTGTACTTCCCTATTAAGTTTGATGCTCATATTTTAGGCTTGTACAAAAAACACTCGATCCGGTTACTTCATTTGTTTTGGAGCCACCAAAATATATCATTGTATCTGAAGCTCTCCTGAGTACTTTGTCTCCTTTATACTGTTGTCTGTTGTACTTTGTAGGATGTTGTAAAGAGTGTTCCAATCAGTCCCCAAAGTCCCCTTTGTGAACACCATTCTTCCACCATGTTCAGTGCTTTTTGGGTGTGTTCTTTTAATGTTGAATCGAATTTTCCCCTGACTAGTATGACAATGTCATCTGCATAGCCTTGGGTATAGATTCCGCTCTCATTTAGTTTGCATATGAGGTCATCCATTACAACATTCCACAACAGAGGCAAGAGTGTTCCTCCTTGCGGACGTCCATGTGTAATGTTAGATGTAGGTGTTGATGTATTTGTTAGGGTGTGTATTATACTTCGTCCTTTAAGAGCTGTTGTATCCCTCGTTCTTTGTGAAAGCCGGTCCCCATTTTAGAATAACTATTTGTTAAAATAAGAACAACAAAAAATTAACACTATTGTTCCACCATGTTTAGTGCTCCTTGAGTGAGCTCTGAATGTTGAGTCGAATTTACACTAACTAGTATGACAATGTCATCTGCATAGCATAGCATATTGGGTTGGGTATAGGTTCGATTTATTTGCATATGAGGTCATCCACTACCACATTCCACTACAAGAGGCAAGAGTATTATTCCTCCTTGTGGACCTCCTCTCGTCACCAATGCGTCTACCTTTTTGTGGAACATGGAGGCTGTACTTGTCTGCTTTTTAGCATTGATTCTATCCATCTGCAGCAGTTTTTTATCAGTTCCTCGCTGTTTCAGTGATATAACCTTTGCTTTAAAAGGAGTGTTATCAAATGCTCCTTCAATGTCCAAGAAGGTTCCTAATGCTATTATTTGGTTGTTCAGGGAATTTAGTGTAGTGCTGATTCACAGGATTTTCCTTTCTGGTAGGCATGTTGATATTTATGAAGGGGTTTTTATTTTAGAAAGCTGCCCCTTATATGTTTTTCAACTAGCTTTTCGAGTGTTTTGAGTAGATAGATGTTAGAATGAGCAGTCTGTACGATTTTGCATCTGGGTAGTTTTTCCGTGCGACCTTTGGATTAAAAACTACGTGTGTAGAGATTAGTGACCGTTAATCGATAGTAATTCAGATATTGTGAGATGCGGTCGGGTGTGATGTAGGTTTCAGAAAAACATTTTCTTTATCGTGCCAACGTTTCGATCTTTTATTGAGATCATCTTCAGGGCTCAAAGTGTTTGTCTTCTGTGTAATTGTGCCATCCTTGTGTGTCGTGTTGAGAGTGACCACAAACACTTTGAGCCCTGAAGATGATCTCAATAAAAGATCGAAACGGCACGATAAAGAAAATGTTTTTCTGAAACCTACATCACACCCGACCGCATCTCACGATATCTGAATTATTAAAAACTACTTTTACAGTTCTCCATGTGCTTGGGTTGTATCCATCCCATTGCCAGGCAGTTTTTGTATATTTTTACAAGTAGAGGGATTAGTGTATTTTCCCCTTTTTAAGGAGTACTGGTTATACCCCGTCTGTTCCTGGATATTTGTATGGGCTGAAGTTGACAATGGCCGTTTTGATTTTTTCACAGGTGATTTGCCAATCTTCTCTGCTGGTTTTGTGCCCATTGACAGGTTCAGTATTGTTCCTAATTTCCAGGTTGGTAATAATTTTTGATTCTGGAAAGTGTGTACTTTTTAGCATTTCTAATATTTCCTTTCCGCTTTTGTTTTTTCGTTGCAAGGACGTCCACTGCTCTCTCATTGGCCTCTACTCCCACATGCCCTGAAACCCAGCAGAGGGTGATCTTTTTTGCATGCCTAATTTGTTTATTTTAGTTAGCAGTTGCTCAGTATCAGAGAGGCTCCGTTCAAGACAGCATCTAACACCGTAATGAGTCATTTGACATGGGCAGCATAACACTTTTGATTGGGGCGGATGCTGTTTTCTCTCAAGACTTTGTAAGGGAGGAAGTAGTGGATGTTGACGGGAGTTAGGATTAGGAGGCCTTGAGGGAGTGTGTGACTAATAGGAGTCTGTTTAGAAAGGGATGGTCCAGGAGTTGAGTACCTCACTTTAAAGGTATAAGGACCTTTTAGCCTATTCGCACTGTGCCATGTCAGGTTTCCCAGGGACCATCGGTATGGTATGGTAAAAAAGGATACTAGGAAGCGGGGTTTGTGCTCCCCAGGCACTGCAGCCTTTTGGCTTCCTAGTTCCTTAGCTTAGTGCAATAGACTAAATCCTTCTCCTTAGAAGTATCAGGTCATTGATAAATGCAATTTGATTCCCTAAGTTTTTTCCATACTTTAGGTTAAATCTCCATTGAGCTGTTGCTTCGCATTCGAAGATGATATGGGTGGCTGTTTCCTCCTCCTCATTACATAATCTGCAAATGGGATCATCGCGTATATACCCATGTTGTGTAGATGTTTTCTCAGATGCCAGTGAGGTTGGGTCCTACTACTCCTCTGAGTTTGGCCCTCTCCAATTTCAGCAATGATTTTGCCAGTCTTGGTGAGGGTTGTTTGATCATAACCCTATGTCTAGCGCCACTAGAGTTTATCCACTTCTCCTTTTGTTTTATTTGGATCCATTCTGCGAAGGAGGATTCTAAATTTGTTTTTGTTATCCCAAATATAAGCCCGGGGCCTCATTATCTTGCAGATCCTCTTCTGGCCAGACTGTCTGCTTTCTCATTACCCAAAATTCCCCTGTGCCCTGGCACCCAAGATATCATCAGGTTGTTGTGTTTCCCCAGGTTTTGGAGATTTTGGATGCATTCATTGACTAACTTTAATGTGATTTTTACATACTAATGCTTTAATGGCTGCTTGGCCATCAGATCTTATGAAGATTTTTTTGGCAGTGTAACCTCTTTTAAGATTTTCCAGGGCACAAGCATTGATGATATGTATTTCTGCTTGAAAGACCGAAGTGTACTTCCCTAATGAGTTTGACTGCTTATGTTTTGGGCTTGTACAGAAAACGCCCGATCCGGTTCCTTCATTTGTTTTGGGCCATCTGTGTACCATATCATTGTATCTGATGCTCTCCTGTGTTCTCCTCTCCTTTATAGTCCGTTGAGAGTTTGAGACTTTATAGGATGTTGTAAAGAATGTTTTCGAGATCATACAGTCAGTTCCTATTTTTAAGAATGGGTGTCTGACCAGGGACCATTACTAGGAAGTAGGAAACGGGGTGGGTTAATGAATCCTATTATAGACCATAAATCAGGCTTTCAAATAATTTTGGTATAACAACGGTGTTTTATTGATGCTTTCGCTTTAATGAACCTCATTTTATTAATTTATCCAACATTCCATGTAGTTTTTATTTTTCTGTTCACCGACCTGTCAGAGATGACGATGTTTTATTTATTGTTGTGAAAAAGGGTCGAGATGACGCGTCGGCCGATTTGAATCGGATTTGGATAACGTCAAAACTTAAAAGCTCCCTCCTCTTCTGTTAGGTGTTACCTTTCAGATGGTACTTGCAGTACCGTATCTTCTACTTTGTTGACGGAAGTGATCTGTGAAAGTCAACTTTTCTATTTGTTTGAAAAGGATTTCGACTGTTTTTATCAAAAGACAACGCGATAGCCGTCCTCGCGTAGATTGACAGCGGTTTAGCGTTTGTTGTCGGCTTAATTTTCCTTTGACTTTTGACACGCTTAGTTATGTGGAGCCCGACACACGTCCAAGTCACTGGTAGAAAGCTTTTATTTATTTCATATTATTATTTATACAAATTAATCATTGTTAATTTTAATATTATCTCGTTCGTTTTCAGTTCAAAAGGCCCGGGGGTTGATTCACAAAGGAAAAAACGGTATGTCGTTTCGTTATGTCACTACATAAACAGTAAAAAAAAGAATGAACTTTGCCTAAAATATCAGCTCCAATTGCTTACTTTTTGTAGTGCGTCTCACAAAAGTAACCGGAAATCTCGCTGTTTTTCTTTAAAATATTACGTTTCACTATTAGAGCTACCTAATTTTTTTATTTCATGTTATATTTAAAACATGACCTTATTACAAGCTAAATTTTTGAAAATTATTTTTAAAACGATTAGAATCAATAAATTAATTATGGAAAATTAAATGTGGATCCAATCAACAGGTGACAGAAGTAATGCAATCCGAGTTTGTTTTCTGATTTTCATTCACTTTTCTCGTATTGCAATAATCCCAGTCTATATTTCTTGTTTATCACTTGATGGGCATAATTATATGAATAATAAAAATAGGAGGTATTTTATGGTTAAAATATTTTAACATTTAAGGTGATTTTATTTAGTTATTACTACGGGTAAATATTTCCAGCTACAAGTTCTGTTAGAGTTTAAACTATACATAAGCAACAATGAATAATTGAGCCATAAATAATAATAATATAATATGGACATATTCAACATAACATATAATCTATTACAAACATATACACTTAAAAAATTTAATACAAAAAACATCTCCATCGATCCTGTAAATAAAATTTCTACAAACCCAACAATTTACTTTACGCAAGATGCTTTAGATTATTCTTGTATGTTTTAATACCAATATTAACAGTTACATGTGTAATAATTTTCTTGAAACAAAAACAAATATTTATAGTAAACAACTAAATATAGTAATCCAGATGCTCTGGAAATGTAATATAGACAGATGTAATAACGAGTAATTATGTTAATCATTATAATGTAAACTTAAATAATGTACAAATGTTATAAAATGTATCTGAGATGTTGATGAATATTTTTATAAATTGTAAATGTTAATTGATTTATACCTTCAAAAAAGCTCTAAGTTGAGGAGGGATCAGGGAGGTGTTACATCAAATTTATTTCTGTAAGCAAGCAATAAGTGTAAGCATTATTAAGTCGCACTTTCTCCCCCTCCAGTAACATTTGTAAATTATAAAAGATTAGTTGCATAGAGACATCAATATCATTATCATATATAAATATATTAACTTCTTCTTTCTATGTATTCACTACCTTATTTGACCCCTATAAGGAGGTGACATGGAGCAATAATTATTTATTTATTATATAGATGGGCAAGAAGTCCATTTACAAAGATAACAACTATAACAATTCTAAAGTTATAAAAATACCAAGGCAAATAATTTTCTTATAAAAAAATATATATTAATAACCCATTTACGTTTTAGTGGTCAATAGACCAAGTTACTTCTTTCAATTTATTATTCTTTCTATGTAAGGTCTTGATTGAGATAAAAACGTCAGCATCACGAGCGGGATTTGAACCCACGACCTTTGCCTCAATACGCTGCTTCTCCATCACTTGAGCTATCTTGACTTCGATCCTCTCGGACACCAACTCTCCACTCAACCTACAACCATTCAAATTTTCCTCTTTTTGCCACTTTCAAATTAACACAAACTTATGTACATTTAACATATAAATGACACAAACATATATACATTTAACGTATGTAACATAACCATATTAAAAAAGTGTATTTCTTTATAAGAAGAGAGATTTAAAAAAATGATTTATTATACAATTGTATAGTCAGAGAAAATATTTTTTTATTGCAAGTTTGTTTGTGTTGAACATATCAATGGTTCATACTACCATTGCCAGTGTATTATTACCTACAGGTAAAATTCTAGAAATGCCAGATTTAAGTAAGTAATTAATTATATTTTTGCATTTGGACTGAAAAAGGGAGGGAATTTCAAGTGTCGTGAGAGCTGACATTGCAAGTGATTAGACTTAACAATTGGAGAGTATAAATTTTGCTATTGATAAGTCTATAGAGTAGAATTGAATCAGTTTGCTCCCTTCTAAAATTTAAAGGAACAGGTTTATAATTAATTATAAGTGATTATAAGAAATATCCACAGAAATAATTTTAAATTTAAAAGCAGCATATCTTCAAAATTTAGTTTGGACTCGTTCAAGTTTGATACAAAGATACGTTTGATGGCGTGACAAGATAGTACTAGGATACTCTAAATGACTATGAATTATGGAAGAAAATAATTTTTTCTTTTAAATATGTTTCTAAAGTGTTGCGTATTTTAAATAACAAATCCTAACAATTTATTAGCTTCATCGATAATATAGGTTACATGCTGGGAAATTCAAGGGCTGAGTGACCAAGGTCTTTAAATGTGGTCACAGTTTGTAGTTGCAATTTGTTACCAAAATAGGATGAAATAACTTTTTTATTACATCTAAAAAATGACATCGCAAAGGATTTATCACAATTAAGTTTAAGTCTTTTGTTTAAGCAACAATCAATACAATTAGAAAAGCAGTTGGAAATATTTTTGTGTCTTTATCATTATTAATTACACGGTACATTTTGACATCATCAGCAAAGAGCAAGAAGTTTATATTCTGAGGGAGAAATTCAGCAACATCATGAATAAAGATCAGAAATAATAAAGGGCCTAAATGAGAACCCTGGGGCACTCCATATTTTTTTGTCGATAAATTTAGACAAAGAATTATTAATTTTTATTTGAAGCTGTCTACCAGCAAATAACTGAAACCAGAACAATGTGGGTCCATGTAAGCCGAGAATATTTTATTTTGATAAAAGTAAATTGAAATTGACGCAATCAAATGCCTTAGTAATGTCTGTGTAAATTACATCAACTTGTTTATTGTGGGCAAAAGCATTTAGTATACAATTTTTAAATAACAGGAGATGTGAGGTGGTTGATTTGTTAGGTTGAAAATCATGTTTAGGTATGATACATTTATTAAAGATAGGGAAATAGAGACAAAAGATCTAATCAGAGTCAATGACATTTTTTAAAACCTATTTTCCATTATTGAACGTGGTCACTTTGATTGGCTCATAATTTATAACCTGGTTATTATATTTGATGAGCACAAAAATGAACTTTAGTCCACAAGTTACTAGTTATGACATTTTCCAATGGTGATTGTGAAAATTTTATGTTTAATGCTGTCTGTGCTATGCTTTATTTATTATGACTTATTAATGAGTTATTATTTACTTATTTGTCTTAATTATATAAATTAAATTAGATACATTTTCTTTCTTGTACAGTACAAAAGTAACTTTTTTCTGATTTATTTTTAACCTGGCATTGAAATTAAAATCCAAATAAAATAGGTGTATGAATACTTATTTGCTAAATTGTTGTGATGACTGTGGGCGTTTATTACACTGCAATGAAATACGATATTTCACTATTTTTATTTTAATAGATGTTTATGCCATAAATGTGCTATGGTTTCGATTTCAGTCTTTCTCATTATTGATTATTTATTCAGTACAAGACATTTCATTGTGGAATTAATGTTTACAGGTACTAACGATGCTTTTGTTACAATTGCCCTGGGTAAAGAAAAATTTCAAACTTCCATTAAAGAAAAGATTGCCGACACTGTTGAATGGCATGAAAAATGTGAATTGTAAGTGTGGTGTACCAAATGTAAATGGTGATATTTTTATTTTTCCTTAAACTTGAAACAATAATTTTTACAGAGTGATACCCAAACAGGGTAACAGGGCAGAAATTGTCCTCACAGCGCTACATCACAATAGAATGGCAGTTGATGAATTTCTCGGCCGAGTCAGCATTCCCCTTGTTGACATGGATATTTATGATAGACCTAAAAATGTGTATGATAATCAATCAATTTTGTTCATAACATAGCTTGTAAAATTACTATGTTCATATTAATTGAAACTGAGTTTGTCCAATGTTGTTATAGGTGGTATAAATTGAAAGACAAGCCAGGTAAAGAAAAGAACAAAGAACGAGGTGAACTAGAAGTAAAAATTGCTTTTATAGTAAAAGCAGGGAGCTTGTCAGACCTCTCTAAAAAAGGAAAGCATAAATCGTCACTTGGGCAACTGTCACAAGCTGCACAATCCTTTGGTAATATATATATCATTTTTTTTTTTTAATTTATTTATTTATTTTAATTCATTCATAATAATGTTCATCACCTTAACTTGCTCTTGTACAAATTAACGGTGTTTTATGATTATGAAATCAGCTAAAATAAAATAAAAAACAATATATTTTTTTTTAAAATTAATTTATTTATTTTAATTCATTCATAATAATGTTCATCACCTTAACTTGCTCTTGTACAAATTAACGGTGTTTTATGATTATGAAATCAGCTAAAATAAAATAAAAAACATGTTATTGTAATACGTCTTTTAATATTTATTTTAAAAATTGTTTTCTTCTATAGGTGGAAGTTTGATTAGCATAAGTAGTCTGGACAAGCGTAAAGGCCTTCGGAACCTGGCAACAAAAATAGGTACTTTTTTTAAATGTGTAATTGACCAGTAATGTCAATAAATTATGCATAATGATGTATACTGATAGGATGAATGGTTAGACTAACAAAGGTGATTTATTGCCAAGCTTTTGATGTTTATAGTGCTATTAAATATGGCGATACTACTGTTGTCCGACTACTGTCTTGCATTCTTGATATTGCCCATATTCACACAATTTTAACTACCAGCTAACCAGAAAAAGTTAGTGTGGTTTTTCAGTTGTTATTGTTTTAATACCGTTAATCAACATATCTATTTACATAGGAGAATTAGGCGTTTACATCATTTAATCCCAAGAGGAAAAAGCATCAGTTCATGAAGAAAAATGTCTTGAACAATTAATATAAATTTTAAAATTTTCTTTTTCATGGCTTCATAAACATAATTCGTGCATGCTTATTGTAAGAATTTTAGCTCAGTACTTGGGCGACTGAGGCGGCTCGTAAAATTTGTACTGTGTGATGATGAAAAGATAAATAAGCACACTGCCCAAAAGTATAAAAAAGTATTCGACCATATACAAAGCATCACCTTTTGTTGGTGAATATTTGCTTTTCGCATTAATAGGACAGTGTTATTTGGTCAGCCATGGTACAATCTCCTGGTTCATTTTTGTTGCACGTGACAATCCAGTCAAAAGTATCTATCATGAAAGCAATGTAAGGGAAATGCTAATAAGCCGCTGAAGCTTGTTACTGTCATCAATTTATGCAGAACCCATTTGTTCAGCTTACGGGTCTTTCCAAGTTGATGTAAGCTAGAGCGAATGGTTTCATCACTTACGTTGAACACTAGCAAGCTCCTGACATGTTTGACTCAAATCAAGTTCAAAACTTTCCCTTAATTTGTCGTCATTCAAGACAAAAGGTCTACGACCATGGTTCATTTTCACTTTCTTTATTCCCAGAAGAAAACTTTTTGAACCACTTTTGGGCAGTGCAAATTTTATGAGTTGCCTCAGCCACCTAAGTACCAAGTTAAAATTAATATAACAAGTACACAAGGATTAGGGGTTTTGAAGCCATGAAAAACAAAATTTTTATAATTTCGTTATAATAAATTATAGTGAACTATTCAAGACACTTTTTCTTTATGAACTGTCGCATAATTCCCTTGATATAATCAATGTAATCTCCTAATCTTCCTATGTAAATAGAATGGTTGATTAACGGTACTAAAACAATAACAAATGAAAAACCGAGCTTTTCTAGTTATGTGGTAATTTAAATTTATTGTGTTATTAAGTGTATCAGTCCTGATGTGATCAATGTAATTGAACAACTGACTTTTGGTAAACGGCTTTTCATCTTCTTTTTACTTAGTAGTATTACCACAGATTGCATCTGGGTTGTTTTGCCGATTTTATAATTTTTATACTTTAATTATTAAATTCTCTAAGAATAGATTTTATTTTGCAGGAAACAAGATAACTAAGTCAAATTTTAAAAAGAAAGATGAGCTCTCAAACATAAATAACGATTTGTCTTCCCAGTCTACAGGAGAACCAGACCCAGGAGTTATTAGTGAAATTGAAAGTGAAGATGACTTCATGGTATTATTAGTTTTAATGTATATATAATTCATTTTATGCATGTAATGCATTTTATTACAATGAAATTAAGTGTATTGACATTATTAGGGAAATGAAAAAATTTTATTTCTCAGGGCTTGTAATGACTACCAGGTTTTATTAAAATAATAGTTTTTTTAAAATTATAGTGTTTAAATCGTAACCTTGGTATGTTATTGATTTTAATCTCTTCCTGTGATGCGTTATGCAATCGGGATTTTTGATATTTTTAAATATAATGTAATGAATACATAATGATATTTTTTATTGATTTGACATGTTTATTGTTTTTTGTTATTCTAGCTTGATGAGTTATCCCAAAAGAGTTCAGGTACATCACTGAATATCTCCTCAAAAACGAGGTCTGTAGAAAATATGTCGACAAACCATGACTTCCTTCCGCCAGCAAAACCACCAAGATTTGTTACTTCAACACTTACATCATCGGTAGAAGAGAAAAAAGGTGAAGAGCAACATTTAAATAAAAGAGGTAAAGATTTTTTTTTAAACTTAAAATTTTACATTTCAATTAATATCTTACAATTAATTAAGGTTTTCAGTTGAGATAAAAAAGTTAATGGCACGAGCGGGATTCGAACCCACGATCTTCGGCTTGATACGCCGCTGCTTTACCACTCGAGCTATCGTGACCTCGATCCACTTGGACACCAACCTCTCCTCAACCACACCTTTTGAATTTTCCCTCCTTTTTGCCATTTTTTAAAATCTTTTTTATCTCAACTGAAAACCTTAATTAATTATAAGATATTAATTGGTCAAGCGGACCACGAAACTAGTGAATTTAATTTCAATTAATATTTAGATATTAATGTGGGAAAAGATACCTACAATATGGAAAGGATCATCATTGGGAGAGAAATGACTCGTACCTCCTCTCCTATCAACACTATTCCAGCTGATGTTTTAAAGCAATATGCAGGAAAAAGTCGAGAAGTGAGTATAAAAGCTTCATTTATAGCATTGTAGTATGAAGTTCCTAATCATCCTGTTATATTTTTGTAAAACGTGAAAAAGTAGTCACTGTTATCTTGGTCTTTCAGCCTTTTTGATGGATTAAGTTTTTTCATTGTTTCTTTTGATCAGTTAATTTTCCTTTACCTTGTATAGTGTTTTTACTCGAACCACCTGCACCAGGGCTTCTCAAATGAAATAGTGGAATCTTCTTTTAATTTCCCTCTAATTTTAGTTATCCAGAATCAAAATCCTTCTGAATTGTTGAGAGCATTGTCACTTTTTATCATAAACCACATAATAAATTCCTATGCTGGTTCTCCAAATCGATAAAGAAACTACGAAATAGGACCATTCTAATAGAATGTCATAATATACGACAGTCACGTTTCCTTAAAATAAATACGATTTACACTACCCCTGTAATCACAGAATCCCAAAAATCCCTCAACTTTTGCAAAGGAGTTATATACTCCCGAGACCTGTCAACAGTGCCCTTAGATGGAATGAAAATGGAATTACAAAACCAAAGAGTAGCCGATGTCTACCGAATATTGATGGGAAAAATATCCCAACTGGAACCCATACATTATTTTTTTAATTTTGGCTAGAGGTTGATTTATTTCTCCCATTGGGAAGTCATTATTCATCACGTCATTTTGCCACTTAATTTGTAATTATTGTCATTGAATTTATTACCTATAATATTAATGTATGTTGTTTCTGACTATTCTAAATTTTTGTTATTTTCTTGATCCAAAATTTTTACATTCAAATGTTTTAATAGTCCTGTTCTTCTGGTTTTTTAAATTGAATTGTGATTGACAGCTACATGTTATATTATAAACTGCATTACATTTCCAAAATTTCTCAATTTATTTTTATATATTCGGAAGGATATATTTTATTTTTAAATACATATGATACAGTTTGGCTTTGTTAATGTTTTTTGTACTCTGAGTGTTTTACCATTACATGTATTAAAAAGTAAAAAGTACATTCATCGTGAATAGTGCTGTCGACTAGATTAACATTGTAGATAAGGTTTTTAAATTATTTTTATGGAATCTAAGGTTCTATTACACTTTTTTGATAGATTTATACTCTATTGTACTTATTATTGACTGGACGGGATGAGAAATACTTTCATATTCTAGCAATGGGTGTTTTAATCGACGTAAAGCATTGGTAGTTTGCTCTATACGTATACACTAGGTAATCAGAAAAGTTCATGCAGTTTTCATTTGTTATTGTTTTAATACCGTTAAAACACATTTCTATTTACATCGGATGAATAGGTGTTTTCATCATGTAATATCAAAAGGATAATGCTCCAGTTCATTAAAAAAAACTGTGTTGAATAGTTCATTGTAAATTTTAATATTTTCTCATGGTTTCAAAACCCATGATTCGTGCACACTTGTTGTACGAATTTAAGCGCATGGGTACAACGAGACAGCTCGGAAAATTTGCACGGCAATGAAAAAATAAGTGAGTGCATTGCCCAAAATTGGTTCAAAAAGTTTACTTCCGGGATGAGGAAGTGTAATAATAATAAAGCGTTTTTTATTCTTTTGGAAGAACACAATTGTTTAAAAACAGTTATAGTTAAAATAATTATTTTATTGTAGTAATTATTAAATTTGACACTGCTATGCATTGGCCTAAGATTATGCAGTGAAAACTTGGGAATAAACCCCAGAATGGCATGTTGGTTATGCACCGCAATGGTCAAACTTTTGATCACATATGAAGCTTTAGTATGGTGGCCAGAAATACTAACACAGAGACACAACGATAACAGTTTTTGACAAAACAAGAGGAAAACTCAACTTTCCAAGTGATTATTGATAACAGAGATCTTTAAAAGAGAGGCAATCCAATATTTAAAGAAGAGGCCATAATATGGTACACGGATGAACCATTATGATCATACAGAGAGTAGGCATAGGGTTAAAAGAGCTTAATTATACCCTAGCAAAACAACTTAAGACTAATCTTAATCTTCCAAGCTGATGCTCATTCATCCCAATTCTGTGCATAGGAGTTGATAAATAAAAATATCAATGGTGTCCAGATCTACATACTTTCGAAGAGTCAGGCAACTTACAAAGTGACTAAATGTGTACGCTTTTAGCTCCAAACTAGTGCTTAAGTTGCCTATTTGCTGTATGAAAACTCAACTTGGTGATTTTAAAGTGCGTTCTGGGATATGAAAGTATAGAAGAAAATGAACAAATAGGCTGACCAACGAGCCAAATAAGGGCAACACTTTTGAAAGCCCCAAGCTGAGGAAGTGTAGCACATAATAGAACGGCAAACGGCCAAAAACAACTTGTATTTCTGAAAACTGGGATGAGAGCAATGAAAATAGATTTAGACCAAATTGAATTTGTCACATATTTTGCAGTGTGAATCTTCCGTTTGAGATGGGCATTGATGAGAGTTGTGAAAATTAAGCCCATTATTTATACTCATTAATTATTTCAATGCGAGAACCTTTAAAATACCAGCACTCATTAGCCGTAAGCCTGCCTCTCCTATGAAAAACCATAATTTTGGATTTTTTCAGGTTGACTGGAAGGAATTACTATAGTTGGTTACTAAGGATTTTTTTTTGCAGAGTGAGTCTGTCAAAATTACAGTAATGCCCAATTACAATATAAAAGAATCTTTATTGCAGTATTTTCATAACAAATTCAAGGCATTCAGAGAGATTGTTGATAAAAAGTGAACATAATAACGGGCTCAGGATACAACCCTATCTAACGTCATACCCCCACCTTAAAATAACTAGAAATCCCTTCAGTACCCACAACTGTAGAGCTGGAATGTGCAAGTGATACGAAATTTTACTGAAAAACCAAGGTTGCTGAGTATAGGTAGCATATCTGCATTTCTATGAACCCAATCAGTGGCAGCCTTGAGATCTAGAAAGAAATCAGACGTTTTTATTTTTATTTAGATGGAGATTAATAATATCAATTAGGGTGAAGATATCAATTGTTGAACATCCTGTCCTGAAATCTGCCTGGAACTCACTTAAAAGGCTATTGCTTTTGACAAACTCCTCAAAGGGACTAACATCAGTACCACTAGCAAATAAAATATAACAGACAAACTTTATAAATAATGCAATAAAAAACAGCGTTTAACAGTGTCTACAAAATAGGTACTAAATTAATTGCCTTTAAAAAAAAATGTAAATAATACACGATACAATAACTATGCTGCACAAAACTATCGCTGACCCTTTTTTGTATGTAATTATGATATTAAAGCCTATGTCAATACATTTAGCATGAGGAAACATATTAACACACAAACTGACAAGGGAGTTTGAATCGAAGATTTGTAAAATAAACATTGTCTGAGAGCCGTTCCTTTTAGGTGAGGTATAAATCTGAAATGAAATGCTGAGGAAATTCATATTTCAGTGGTTGAATAGTTACTTATTAGAAATTAGGTAAACTGTTTATAATTAAACACGCAGTGGAGAAAATTGACACAATTTCTATCACTGAATTCGGTTAGTTTGTTAACTAATGAACGACGGCCTTGTGTGACCTAAAAAATTTGCATGCAACCCACCCTTTTAATGTTAATGAACATATAATAGAGACCCAACGAAATAAAAATAACACAAAGTTACCACTGATGTTGGTGAAATGTCGAAACGTATTTCACTGACATCTAAACCTTTGAGTGAGTATGCAGGCCCATTAAAGTTGGCAATTTCTCTCAATTTAACATGTAATGATAGTGTTTTAATTTTATTTTTAATTTATTATTATTATGTATTATTATTATGTATTATTATTATTTTTAGGACTTGATTCAAATTATACATGATCTTCAGACAAAATTATCTAAAGAAATGAAAAGGCAAAAAGATTTAGAAGACTACCTGGACCAACTTCTCCTGAAAGTAATGGAAACATCTCCCAGAATTCTTCAAAACCCTTATATGAAAAAGGGCAAAGTATAGCATCATGTTTCCATTTATAATTATATTAGACTTTTTAAAATTAACAAATAAGCATAAAAGTGTTGTATGCAATATACCTCTCGTAGTAGGTTTAACATTCTAAAAACGTCCACATCAAGTGTCAATTAAATTGCAAATAGAAATATCAACATATTTTTAAAACATACATATAAATATCAACATTTTTATTTTTATTAATCTACAAACGCCAATTTGGACAAATTAATTTACAATAAGATATACAAGCTTTATTTGTATTATCAATTGTTATACTTTTTATTTAATTTTTTTTTAATTATTAAGAGCATATATACAAGCAAAGTGCTTTTGTGAAAAAAAATTGTAAATATGTCCAAAGTGGGAGATAATATGATAAGAAAAACGAGAACCTATTTAATAGGTTGATTGATTATAATAGCAAGTGCAAACCAAAATTCACAGGGTACAGGTGACAAATAATTACTATGTAGTTACATGATGTATGCTACTAAGTCATTATAATCTTTTTTTAAGAAAATCATAGTTATACAATTATAGTTTTCAAATTTGCCCAAGTTGCAACAGTAATTAATAGTTTTATGACATATGTTAGATACACATGGAATTAGGATATTATTAGGACTTATTTATTTATTTATTATAAATATTTATGGAATGTTATAACTTGTAATCGTGCCTCTTTTATTTAAGGGGCCATGTTACCAATTGGAAAAATTAAAAATGATAACTGTAATACTAATAATTCTGAAAATGACACATGTTTTTTCGCTTGTTCAGAATGTAATATTGAATAAATAAATTATTTTGGTTAATGTTGAAATAACGAACTATTTTTGAAAGTTATTAAAAGTTGAATTAAATAAAGATATATCGATTTGTAATTTAAGATATTAATAGTTAAATTACTTACATTTAATATAAATATATTTTTTCAAAAGTATAATTTATGTTGTTATATCCATTAGATTTTTGGCAATGCAAAATGATATAAAAATTAAAATTTGTTTTGTGAAATGTCATGCTTCCATGGAACTGTGATTGGTTAATAGTCGTAGTTAACTATTTTTCTATTCTACCTGTGATACAAATTACAGACCATTTAATTTTTAAACAAATTCCACCCATTTATAAGTGAGTAGAATCATTTAAGCCATTTTTTCCCATTTTGTATAACTACTTATTCTTGAAACAACAAATTTTCTTTCTGTATAACAATCTATTGCATAAGGACATACTTGCTCTGTGATTCTTAGCCGTCATGTTTATGCAACTTTCTTTTGTTATAAGAATAAAAATTGTTACTTTTGTTAAATTATTTGTGGTATCATTTTGTAATTGCAGTAAACACAGTATATTCTAGCTTGACAGTTTTAAACAAACTAGGTTAATACACACTATATTGTATAAATATATACATAGTGCAATTTTAATTCTTATTGTAATACAATTATTTGTACTAATTTATTTTTAAGTGTTAATGTTTTTCAATAAGTATTTATTACACTGTTTTTAATTTTATATATATATGTGTGTGTGTGTGTGTGTGTGTGTTTGTGTAAAAATGTTTTCATATAGAACTGATGTAAAAACACAAAAAGATGAAAGACTTGTATATAAACAAAAACAATTAAGTCCCCTTTCAAATTTTAATATATTTATTTTATTCTTTATGTGTATAAACTTTTACCCTTATTATTTTTTAAGCAAACGTCAATTAGCTGTGACAAAGATATACAGTGCTCTCTCTCTCCCCCAATCCGAACTTCAGTATTCCTAATATTGGAGTTCAAATTCAACATGCTAATTTTAACACATTCGTTATAGCACTGATTTTTAAATGCTCCCCTGAGATACGTAAAAATTGATTATTTCCTTTTAAATCGTAAAAAAAAATTCAAAATGAAAAAAAATGGTGTTCACAGAAATTTTGACAAAGTTGATGAAGGCCTGCGACATCGATTCAATTCAAAAATACCCTCAACATCCTACAACAAGCTTCAAAAGCGAGGGTTCTCTAGAATAGGTGCGTTGTTCTGGAAGATGTCCATATATGGGAGGAGTTAAGTGTATCAATCGAGAACAAAGGTAACATACAAACATTACTTGTTGGGAAGGGGGAGGGAGAGAGAGAAAAGGAGTGAGTGAGAGATAGTGAATGGGGTGAGTGTAGAAAAGAAAAAGAACATAGAGAGTGAAGGAGTGAGTGAGAGAGGAAAAGAAGCGAGATTGTGTATGATTTAGTGAGTGAGGAGAGAGAGAAAAATATTGAGTGAGAGAAGAAGATAGAGTGAATGAATGAGTGTGCGAAAGAGAGAAAGAAAAGTGAAAAATTGTGTGTGATTTAGTGAGAAAGAGAGAGAGATAGTGAATGAGGGGGAGTGTGGGAGAAAAAGAAGATAGTGTGTGAGTTAGTGAGAGCGAACGACTGACTGAGGAGAAATATTGAATGAAGGAGTATGTGAGAAACAAAGGAAGAGAAAGAGGAAGTGAGTTGAGAAAGTGTGAGTGAGAGATATACCTAACATATTTTTTCATAGTTGAATCTTTTATTTCTTATTTCGTGTTTTAAATTTATTTTATATTGTTTTGTAATTTGAATAGTCCTTATCAGTTTTACTTCTTTTATATAGTCTAGTCTCTAGTCTTATCTCTTTTCTTTTCTTAATTTTATAAGATTTTGTGTCATCCAAGGTGCGGGTTTCTTTGTTATTCTCACTTTATTTAATAATGCACAAATATCTGGTGTGGTTTGCGGCACTAGCGCAATGAGTTGTGGGTGCTCTGAGCGAATAGTGAGTGAGTACTGAGCTACTCCTCTCTAGCCTGTCAAGCCTTTAGCTAGGGTGCGTCTGGTTGCTCGGCCTGACGGGTAAGTGCCCATCACTTTCTGCTAACTGTATGAGATTGTTAAGAAAAGCACAACAATACAGGTACAACATTCAAGTCCCTTATTGAACTATGGTTTAAATAAGGCTGAATTCATTAAACAATCCCCGACATATTTCATCACTTATCCCCTAATTCTTACTCAATTAAACACAAATCAATTCATGGACGAATCTCTAACCCTGAACGTCAACTCTTGGCCAACCCCTCGTTGACTTCTGGCCAACTCCTACTGACTCCTCTTTGACTCTTGGCCAACTCCTTGTCGACTCTTACTGACTAATGGCTGACTCCTCATCGACTCTTACCGACTTCTGGCTGACTCCTGGCCGACTCCTACTGCCCGCATCAGCTCTGTTGCGACTGTCTCTTCTCTCCGCCAGCCTTCTCGACTGCCTCCTAATTCTTTTGGGATAGTATTTAACTCAATCAGTCCAGGTGGAGGTGGGGAGTGGGGAACTCTTCAAGCTAAGAAAACACTGTTATGATTCCCATTTTTCTTCCCTAGTTTGTTGAGCTTTTCCGAGCATTAGCTAATGAATCCTAGGGGTTGAGTAATAAGGCCACTTGGCATCGTAAGAGTAAATATTTCCATGGCGATATCCCCTGACCCATATTTCTCAATCGTGAACACCCAGGTGTTATTATTTCATTAGATTTATTTAGCTGTGTCTGGGGTGAGACTTACTTTTTGGAATCTTCACATTTAGTAATTTCACATGTTAGTAAACTTACTTTTTATTTACATTTTCATATATTTCTTTAAATTTATTATTGCTTACATTTTTAATAACATATTCATATTTTATTTTTTAAACTTTATGATTTTTCTTATTTTTAATCAATTATTTTCAGTGTTTAAATTTAAGATACAGTAAATTATATCACGTCAAAATATCTCTGAGTCACTAAACTGGCCATTATGAATTATTAATTCCTGATTATTCACAATTATTACATCTAGTGTATAGTATTTAGTGACTGTTAATTAATGATTATTTGGAGATCAAGAGATGCAGTCTGGTGTGATGTAGGTTTAGAAAAATTTTTTCTTTATCTTGCCAATGTTTCGATCTTTATTGAGATTATCTTCAGGGTCTGGGATTTATAAACATTGTTTAAAATATAAAAATACATATAAATAAGATATGACTATGAATTTATAAATTATGTACACAATATAGAAATTTTTGGTGTAATCGAAGTTTATTTGGAGATCGTGAAGTGTGGTCTGGTGTGATGTAGGTTTCAGAAAAACATTTTCTTTATCGTGCCAATGTTTCGATCTTTATTGAGATCATCTTCAGGGCCTGGGATTTATAAACATTGTTTGAATTTTACAAATACATGTAGGATGTGAAAAAATGAATTTATACAATGCTAGAAAATTTTAGTTTAAAAAAATTATACATTGCTAGAAAATTTTATATTAAAAAATTATACAGTGATAGAAAATTTTGGATTAAAAAAATGAATTTATACAATGCTAGAAAAGTTTAGATTAAAAAGAGAATGAATTTATACAATGCTAGAAAATTTTAGATTAAAAAAATGAATTTATACAATGCTACAAAAGTTTAGATTACAAAAAGAATGAATTTATACAATGCTAGAAAATTTTAGATTTAAAAAAATGAATTTATACAATGCTAGAAATTTTTTTTAGATTCGATCAAAGTATTGTACTCACTCAAAGTGTTTGTTTTCCTTGTAGATGTCATTCTTGTGTGTTGTGTTGAGTGTGCCAGTGAGATGTTGCTGTTTTATGTACATACATTGGATTTTGAAGGGGTGGGAAGGAAGTCGGGATAGAAAGACATTTTTATACGAGGAGTCTGCTTCTTTGAGGCGAAAGGAGCTGACAATAGGAAAAAACGTGGGTAATGGTTCGGCCTGATTATCCTTTCAGGATTATGTAGATGGGGATAATTTGGGAAAGGAAAGCCAAATTGTTGAAGAATTAGACTAAGTAGAAATGTGTGATGTGTGGAATGTGATGATTGTTTTATATGTTACATGTTTTGTGTGATGTGATGATGATATATGTATGTTATCGACATTCCCCCAGGTCCTGAAGATGATCTCGAAAGTGTTTTTCAACTTAGTCACACCAGACCGCACCTCACGATGTCCAAATAATCATTGGCTAACGGTCACTAAACACCATACATTTAATCAAAGTATTTGTACACACTCAAAGTGTGTGTTTTCTCTGTAGATGTGTCATGTTGAGAGTATTAGTGAAATTAATGTTTATTTGTTTGTATATGTTTGATTTTGAAGGAGTGGGAAAGGAAGTAGGGATAGAAATTAATTTTTCTATGAGGAGTTGGCTTCTTTGAGGTGAAAGGGACCGACAATGGAAAAAAAAAGATATGGTTGTGGATCTAGACTATGAAGAATTATTTGACGTGTAGAGTAATGAGTGTAATGATTGTTGTATATGTTGTATTTATATTTTGTGTGTTATATGTAAATTATTGATATTGAATGATATTTTCACTTACGATTAAACCTAAAATTTGTATGCTGTGTACATCATCATATAAATTCATAGTCGTATCTTTGTATAATGTAAACAATGTTTATAAATCCCAGGCCCTGAAGATCATCTCAATAAAATTCAAAACGTTAGCACAATATTCTAAACCTACAATCACACCAAGCCACATCTCACAATTGATAAATAATAGTTTTTATAAGTTTTTTGCTTTGTCGTTTATAAAATTTAGTGTAATTTTTAGTCTAATTCAAGTTAAAATTACCAATCATAATCGCATTTTTACTTTTAATTATAAATTTCACTGATTTCAAATAATTTGTCTATTCCTGTAGCTTTAGGTGGTCTGTATGTTACACACATTATAGTTGAGAAATTAGTTGAATACACCATTCCTATAACGTATCAACCTTTTTTTCATAGGCATTAGGTGATGAAAGCTAAACTACAAAATTTAATTTATTTTTTATGTACAAAGCTACACCACCCCCTTCTTTATTTATTCAGTCATGAAAATGGAGGGTATAGTGTAGTAATTGCAAACTGTTTGATAGTTTATGTGGTTCTGTAAAAATTTAATTCGGATAAACAAATTTGAAATTTGCATGTATGATAAATTATGGTCATTGATCATCATTTAATGTAATGTAAAGAGAGAGAAAACAACAAAGTAACAACAGATTGTGTAAAGTTTTTTGAACAATGTTTATATTATTAGAATTTGGCTATATCATTGTTTGATTTTATGTTTATTGCCTGGGAATTTTCTTCTTTTTTTTTTAATACAACTTTTACCATTTTTATAACACAAATATTTATAATTTTTTTCATTCTTTACAAATACAAACATCTCTCATTAACTTTCTGTTATAATATGACAGTGACTGACTAATATATAATCTAATATCATATGATTTGTTTCTCCTATAATATCACTATAATAAGTCTATTTTTTTTTAATATTTAAGAATATCGTTTTTACCTAGTGTTTTGAAAAAAAAAACTTCCAGGATTATTAGTTATGCTGTTTTTTTAATCGATAAC